TTTGACAAAATTGGGGCTAATAGATCTATACAGGGAGGACATATTCATCTTTCCCAAAAAGGTCTCTTTATAGGCGCGTTACGAGATCTTATGATAATAAGTTAGGAGGACGAGATAGGTTAAAACAATGTTTTGAGTACCTAATTGAGGTTGAAGTACCTATGTTTTTTGAATTGTGCTTTTGGGTCGCATAATTTTGGATTTATCACTGCCGTGGAATGCAAAAAGATGTTGGTTTTGACCACAAAATAGGTATTTTAGACTGCGCGTTTTGTACATACTACGGAGAATCAATGGTGGCAAATCACGTCAATTTTTATTAAGCCAAAACGATTAGTCAGATGCACAACGATCAGCTTCATCCAGGTTCATGTAGACTTAAAATCCAAGTATTCAAAACCAGCAGAAAAACAAAAAAAAAATTAATTATGGCGGTATAATAGTCAATGTTCTATCAAAAGCGTTTCCCAAAGTCTTTATTAAAAGAGCCCTGCTGGTTTCCCGGAATATTCCGAAAATTCCCGTGAATATCCTAGTGCGGTTGATAATTTATATGAGAAAGGCTTGAGATTAGGCTATAATGGGCGCCATACATTACACCGCGGGATGCCACCCTGTATACGTGTTTACTCGCGCTACGTGACGTCATATTTCTAGGAGGAATTTAAAAATGGAACTTGGAAGAAAATATTAACATCTTTTTTACAAGCTTTTATTTTTCGTGACATAAAGGCGTTGAAGTGAACTTTTAACTGCCAGTTATATTAAATGGGAGAAATATGAGAACATCAGGCCTTTTCAAAGCATCTGAACAGCACAACGTGAGGAGTTTAGGCGAAATCCGCCAATTTAGCGAATTAAAGAGGGTTACCCTCATGCAATGGAGACTGAACGATCTGATGATGACGTTGATTCATTGCTATTATTTACCAGATGACCAATGTTTTTATGTGTGGTGTTCGTATTATTTGCATATTTTGCCAAAACTACTTGTAATTTAGAAACAGTTGCTTTTGAAATACACAAAGATTTTTATTCATCCAGAAACGAGATTTTATGTCGTCTAGGCTTAACAACAAAGGCTTTATTAAAAGGTCGACACAATTCACCATGTGGCCAAGTTTGAAATATATTGCAGCTTTCCGAAAAGTATCAATTCAATGTTTAGAGTGGAGTAGTTAATTCACAATTTTATTATTGGGTTAAGTTTTGACCTCTGGTTTAATAGACATAATTTGTTGCTTATGACCTCTAGTATAATCCCTTTCAAGAAATATGTCGAGATTCCCTGTCACCCTATATTTTTTATCAGTGAATTGTGTGAGATTATCAGTGAACCGACAATGCCCTATATCATTTCCAGTACATTTCCAGCACTCCAATATGCCTCATTATAAAGCGGCTGGAATTCCAGACGATTCCAGTATGCAGCCCACATGTTCAGGCTGAATACGTATGAAATTCGTAAAATTTTGACTTCTTCGCAATGCACAAAGGAACACGCCAAACTCAAAATGCTTTGAAAATTTTTTTCGTCCCACTGAATTCCTACTTTTATCAGAGGCATTTCTTTGAGCGTCATGGAAGGTAGACAAAGCAGATATTTCAGTCAATCGATATTGGTGACATATCACGGGTCTTTTGACGGCTGTATCCTGTTTGAATCCCGTTGGTGCCAAACGTAAGAGCGATGAATTAGAACATTAAATTTTATAACTGCGTTATGAATATTTTCTGTATTTAAGAATCTTTTTTTCAATTGTTATGGTTAGTATTGCAAAACAACGCTGACCTAGATTCAATTTCAGACGTAAATTAAGTAAACTATTGTTCTAAATATTGAAATTCAACTAATCGAAATCCTGCATTTATACTTGAACCTTTGAGTTTTAACCTTTGTTCTGTAATTTACCTTAATCTAATTACCACAGTTCAGTTCAATATCTTGGTAACAAGCTATCGTTGACAATAACCCTATTTATTTAACTTTGAATAAATCAGTTTAAAGGTTCATTCAAAAGTAATATAATCAGAAATAGAACCCCGGCAACGGAATCCACGTAGCTATGATGGCCAAAGATCGTCGGACGTCACCGACAAAACAATTTTGCAGTTAATATTCATGAAATTCAGATTGGATACCTACCAACCGAGTTTTCGGGCTTTTTAGATAAATACACCGATAAAACTTTACGTTAACTTTGGTGATTTTGATTAGAATTTGATGAAATTCGAAGATTATGGAAAACAATTTTTGGAAGCCCAATGATTCCATTCGGCTATGTGCATGGTAATGAAATATTTCGGGTAATTTGCTTCCCTCTTACTAAATTTAGTATTAACACTGTTTTAAGTAGACAATACATAACATTGTTAACTTCTAAGAAAAAATAAAAAATAAAATAAAAAAATATACGGAAAAACTAAAAGCAATGATAAAAATACTGTTCGCGATCGCGAGTGATATAAAACCTATTTGGATATTGTGACAGTGAAAAATCATACGGCATTCTTTTGTTTTACTCTCTGTCGGTTGGATTCGATCAGTACACAAGTCTGTTGAAATTATTTGCATTTTTACTTTAAAATATACCTGATTCCCTTCATGGTCCTGGATCGAGCCGGATAACTATTGCAATCGAGGAAGTTACGGAAAGCGCAGTTATTGGCACTGGGGATTGCGCGTCGTCAAAGAGTGGTCGAGGTTCAAAGTTCAAGTTCAACGGTTTGAACGTGTGAGCGAAATGGTATAAAAAGTGATTAATTTTAGGACCCAGCACTCTACTAAGGTATATTCTATGTGTAATTGTAAGGATATATAAGGTTAGTAAGCATTAATGTTTATTTTATGCAAAATTTGTGAAATAATGACTGTGTAACTGTTTTACCTACCCGTTGCAATTTAGCAGTGTAGATACATTTGGCATTCTGTTAAACTAGTTAAACTGTGTTAATAAGTTCGCAATTAAGTGCCGAATAATTTATCTAGTATTTGTTTAAGCCAAATTATCATTATTTTCACACTCAGTGTAACGGTTGTGATTTTTGTAGGTAATTAATCCACCTTATTATTCAGTGTAACAATAGTCTCATTTAGGCATAATTATTAAGAGTACTAAGTACATTCTAAACGTTTTAAATGTATAAATTCCAGGATGACTAGTGAATTGAAAGTACCAAGCCGACCTAAGTCTCCCAAAATGATGGACGATAAGGACTTGAAAAGGATACGTGGAAGCATAAAGGGTCGTCTCACTGCATTTTCCAATTATTTGACCGGTTTGGAAGCATCCTCGCTTTGTTGTCGCGATGCCAAGGAGTTACAATTGCGGATCGGTAAGGTCGAACATTTATACGATTCTTACGATGAGGTGCAGTTGAAAATTGAGTGCGCGTGTGATGATGATTCGCAAGTTAGTGAACGGAGTGAGTTTGAAGGAAATTATTATCGCGCCCTTGCTAAGGCACAAGAAATTCTAGACAGTTATCGTAAGTCACAAGATAATTATCTAGATGCGCAATCAATCGGTAGTCGTTCCAACAATCATCAACTTGTTAAATTGCCCACGATACAACTGCCAAAATTTAGTGGTTCATATGAGACTTGGATGGAGTTTCACGATACCTTCTCCAGTTTAATTGACAATAACGATCAAATTGATGAGGTAAATAAATTCCACTATTTAAGGGCTTCCTTGGAAGGGTCAGCTGCTGTGGTAATTAATTCCATTGAGTTTTCGGCTAAAAACTATTCTGTTGCGTGGAAACTCTTGTGTGATCGTTTTGATAACAAACGTTTATTGATACAAAATCACATTTCAGCTTTATTTAACATTGAATCGATCACAAGAGAATCCTCAAACAATTTAAAGGGTATTATTGATCAGGTTAATAAGAATTTGCGGTCCTTAGAATCCCTAGGAGAACCTGTCGATCATTGGGATACATTATTAATTTATATTATCACGAAAAAGCTAGACTCTAAAACATATCGTGAGTGGGAGGAACACAAGGGTTCATTGCCTAATGATAAGCCGATAAGTCTAGAATGCTTGCTTAGTTTCATACGTAATCGCGCAGACTTACTTGAGACTATTGAACTATCACAAAATAATATGTTAAAGAGCAAACCTGCAACTAAAATAAAGGCCATGGTATCTTATCAGAGTAGTCAGAACAATGATTCAAATGCATCATCTATAAAACCATGCCCTAATTGCTGTGATAATCATTTTTTAAACAATTGTCCTAAGTTTCTTGTTTTAACTAGCGAAGCACGGTATAGCCTGACCAGGAACATAAAAACCCTCGCCATGTTGCGGAAAACTAATGGTACTAATTTCTTTTAATGGCAACAGTAACTGAAAACTTCATTGACATGTCACCTTGCATGTCAGTCTATTGCTGTCAAAGTGTAAACAAACTTTATTTTAAATGTGCGCAATTGATTTTGTGAATTAAATTGCTAAAATATTTTTATAATCGTGAAAGAAAAGTGGTTCACAATGTGTTTAAGTATTTGTCGAAGAGAAATACTAAGGGTTCGGACAATATTTTCATTGAATAATTTTTCCGACAAGGGTGTCACATTGACTGACATGTTTATCGTATAGTACAGTCCACTATGAAAATTAGCTGTGGTTCGTTTCAACTACCTATTTTAAAGTTTTTTGTCACTTTCTAAGTGTTGAATTTTATGGAATTGGGAAAGAAGTACCGAGTTTGAAGCGTTCATGAGCAGACATTGCAGTTGAATATTCAAGTTCTGAATTTGATTATTGATGAATAATAAAATAAATCCTACTAGCTCGATTGATGTTTTCATTTTATTTATTTAAACCAGGTTACCTATAATAATATTTTTTCGTTAATTCATGAAAATATCAAATTAGCCCGTAATCCTGAATCCTGATACATCAAGTTAGCCTATTAATTTAACACAGGTACGACTGTACTCAGTGTTGCACTATCAAATGCAATTGACGCGCCTCTATGCCAGGGTTTTTATGTTCCTGGTCAGGCTATAGTAAATCAAATAATATAACATTCCTTAACAGTTAATTACTTATTAACCAGTGAAAACCAATTTTAAAACTACACATTTTACATTTACAAAATACAAGTCATCCCATCAGTTCAGGGATTGTCCTAGAAAATCTTGCCAAACAACCACGTACTTGGAGACAAGTCATCCTACAACAAAATTGTATCCCCGACTGCCGGGTCAGAACTTTTATGAGCCTGTTAATAAACCTTGTATGAAAATTGTAAAATGTCTATAAAATATCAATTGAACTTATTACCTACCTAAAAATCACGAACTGAACTAGAGAGTGAAGAACTGTTTTTTCTCACATAGATTGGCCTACGTACCTATATGAACATAAAACCCTTTTTGTTTTCGAGTTTAGTGTATGATAGTTTGTTCTCTTAAAAACCCTTGAAAAACCTTCATACACACTACTAACAACTTAGACATCCAAACAGCTCCACAAACTTAAACTGCGATATACCTACTCATTTGTCACGGAAGTAACGGAGTTTTGACACTAGCAAACTAGCCCAACGGGAATTTCCCTGATGCAGTGATTACGCGTAAATAAACCCCAGCAGCGTAAGCAATGTTGAAGGCATCTGAGAATCCCTGCAGCCCTGCAAAGCATCGTCTGATCGAGTGCATACCACCGTGGATACTACAGCTAAGTGGTAACTCGTTAAAAGGTAAGTATTCCCATCTTTAGTTAACTCCAGTAAGTTCTTTCTCTCACCCTATTCCAGCTATCCACACTGCTTGATAACTTCTTCGCTTAAGCAAGTTGCTATCCATCCTAATGGATTGAATAGATGTGATACCATACAACCGATAGATATAACTTTTCTTTTTTTACAGGTGCGGACAGCAGCGGCAATTCACCGAGTACTGAAATTCATCATTGTTCCTGTTTCAGGTAAGTCCCTCTTTTATTTTATAGTTGAAATCCCAGTTGTCCTTCTTTGTCCTTTTTGTTCTTTTTGTTCTAATAACCTTAGTAACTCTTCTCTGTTACATAACCATTTGTCCCATAAATGCCTCATCTGTACTATAAATCCCTAGTTTGTACTATAAATCCCTAATTTGTACTATAACTCCCTTTTTGTACTATAAATCCCTTTTTGTACTTTAATTCCCAATTTGTTCTATAATTCCTAATTTGTTCTAAATTCCTAATTTGTTTGCTCTATTCTTTCTTCCGCAGTTTGACTCCATTTGCGGATGCGTCAAACACCACTTTCGCAGTTGATCTATTTCCCTTCATAACAGCATGATGTAAGTATACTGCTAGTTCTTTATTGTACTTAGTTTCCTGTTTTAACTTCATGTGTTCTAGCTGTGTATTATCCTCTGTGTAATATCTTCTGTTCTTTAGCTTGTTTCCGTGGTAAATCTTTGTCCTAAATGTTTTCAATTTTCTGACAGATGTTTCTTCTTGTTTACAGGTAAACACTTCTACGTGGAATGGTAACTTCACTTCGTATTCTCCATTTGCACGCCGACGAGTGGGCGCAGCGAAGATTCCTTCACGTCTTTGTTCTTTCGATGTTAACCCTTTTGAAGTAAATAAAGTTTCCAATTCCAAATCTTTAGAGCGGTTTGAACTACATCCCTTTACACGCGCATGCAACACTGTAACACGATTTTCATCAGCAGCCGTATTTATCGGTCCAGATATTATCCACCCAAGCGTGGTGCACTGTACCACTGGCGAACCCGTAGGACCCCGTAACAACCCATTTCTTAATATCTGACTACATACGTCTGCTCCCAGAAGAATGTCAATCTTGTTCGGTACGTTAAATAGCGGATCAGCTAAATAAACCTGCGATAATTCAACCCAATTGTCTAATGAAACTCTCTGTCCTGGTAAGTAAGAAGTAATGTCGCTAAGAACATACGTCTTCACCTCGATTTCAAAACTCGGATCTAGTTTAGATTTAAGTGTAAGTGAAACCATAGATCTGGAAAACACAGAAGGTTTCGCATCACCCAAGCCTGATATATTATTTGTCACATTTATTTTCTTTAGTCCCAAACCTTGGACCGTAGCTTCTGTCACGAATGAAGCTTGAGAGCCTTGATCTACTAAAGCCCTACACACGTGATATTGGCCTGTCCTAGACTTAACGTCAACCAATGCTGTTGCCAATAACACATGACTGCTCTTAGTCTTCGCGCAACATGCCATGTGATTTGCAGTCTCAATTGGCTGCGTATCCTGTTCTAAACCTTTTAGATTGTTGTCTTTCCCCGCGCCTTCTTCTACTACTTGACCTAAAAACCCTGAACCAGCAGTCGAAGTGGGGGCTTGCCCTGAATGAAGCAAAGAATGATGCCGTTTTTTACAAACTCTACAATTGGTGGGTGATCGGCAAAACTTTACACCATGGTTGCTTCCTAGACAGTTATAACACATTTTGTTTTTGATAACAAAGTCTCGTTTGTTCTCAAAACCCAAATTCGCAAACTCTTTACAAAAACATAATTTGTGTTCCTCGCCACAAAACTCGCAAGAAAACTTTTGAACATTAGTCGCATGTAAAACCCTAGTATGACTAATGTTCTGCCCGGTATGCACATTGGAAGCTGACTGTTTACTGAAATGTTTAGGCTCGATACATTCCAAAGCGCGAAACCTATCGTACAAGAAATCCTTCATTTGATTGTAAGTTGGTAAACAATCAGACGCTACCGTTCTAGCAATGTGCAGTTCCCACTCCTTGCGTGTCTCGGGGTCTAGTTTTGAACTCAACAGATGTATTATGATTATGTCCCACGTAGACACATCTATTCCTAAATTGATTAAGGCGTTTAAACAATCTGAGGTTGTGTCTATAAAACCTTTTAAAATACCTGCAGATACAGTACTAGCATTACGTTGACTTAAAAACCGATTCAAAATGTTGTGTGCCAAATATTTTTTATTACTGTATCTTTGCTCTAGAANCCGGCCCTGTCAGTCGCGGTCGTGTATCTGATTTTCCACACATTAAATGCAACTTTACTCAGGTTGATCCATTGACTTCACATTGCACTGAAGATGACATTCAAGCCCAACTTACGCGGTTTTGGCAGCTCGAAGAAGTTAGCCCTCAGTCATCTCATTATTTTCCAGAGGAGAAGCAATGTGAAGAACATTTTGTAAAGAATACAACTCGCCTCTCAGACGGTAGGTTCTGTGTTAGGATCCCATTAAAGCAAACACCAAGCGTGTTAGGTGATTCTTATCAGCGAGCGAAACATTGTATGTTATCATTAGAACGTCGACTTAAAAAAGATTTGTTATTTAGTAAAATGTATAATGACTTCATGGTAGAATACGAATCGTTAGGTCACATGACCGAGTGCGAACCGATCACATCGGTCCCTCATTACTTTATCCCTCATCATGGAGTTCTTCGTGAGAGTAGCACTACGACCAAACTTCGCGTCGTATTTAATGCAAGTAGTCCAACCACTACAGGTGTTTCATTTAATCAGCTTCAAATGATTGGGCCTACAGTTCAAGATGACCTACTTTCAATCCTTTTACGATTTAGGCAGCATAAGTATGTGGTTGTAGCAGACGTAGAGAAAATGTATAGATGCATAGAAGTCGATGCCGTAGACAGACCGTTGCAACAAATTATTTGGCGTGACCAAAATCAACCCAATTCGCAACTGAAATGTTATGCTTTGAACCGGGTAAGCTACGGCACCGCTAGTGCTCCATTTCTCGCTACTCGTTGCCTAAAACAAATTGGTCTAGAATGTAGAGACACTCAAATAGGTGAAGTTATTATCCACGATTTTTACGTTGATGATCTCTTGAGTGGTGGTGATGAAATTGAACAAGTTTTGTACATACGTGATCAGGTAACAGCTGAGTTAGCCTCTGCTTGCATGCCTCTCAGAAAATGGAAGTCTAATGAGCCTCAATTATTGCCTAAGACTGATGAGTCATCTCCCGATGTAAACATTTGTGAGTCTGGCGCCGGTAAAACACTGGGCCTCGGGTGGCACTCAGTTTTAGACGAATTTTACTTTCCGTTCAGTCCAATAGCCAAAGGAGACACAAAGCGTGATATACTTTCTGTAATTGCGAAAATATTTGATCCATTAGGTCTTCTTTCACCTTGTGTCATCCTCATGAAAATTCTATTACAGAGACTATGGCTACAGAAACTGTCTTGGGATGATGAGCTACCTGTGGACATAAAGCAAACCTGGAGGGAGCTGGTCCAAGGCCTCCCGGGTTTAAACAGCCTACGTATACCGCGACGGGTTATCTGTGATTCAGCTTCGCGGCTGGAATTACACATTTTCACGGATGCGTCTGAGCGTGCGTACGGCTCTTGTGTTTATGTTCGTAGCATTAATTGTGAAGGTGAGGTCTCAGTCCATTTATTGCTTGCCAAGAGTAGAGTCGCTCCAATCAAGCCGACAACAATACCACGCCTCGAGCTATGCGGCGCCGTAGTGGGTGCTCGTTTATACGAGAAAGCAGTTGCTGCATTACGATTGCAAGTCGACCAAGTTATTTTTTGGACAGACTCAATGGTCCTCATTGGTTGGCTCAAAATGTTGCCTTCGAAGTTGCAACCATTCGTACGCAATCGCGTAGCTGAAGTTTTAGACAAAACCGGTAACTGTACTTGGCGACATGTTCCGTCTGAAGATAATCCCGCAGATTTAATATCTCGTGGAGTTAGTATAGAATCTCTTCAGTCGCTTAATTTATGGTGGCACGGACCAGATTATTTAAAACACGATTCGTCGCACTGGCCTGCAACCCCAACAGCGCCTAGTACAGCCAGTGATTTGCCTGAAACTCGGAAGGAAGTAACCTTGATTGTAACTAATGCAACTCAAAGTGAGTTTATTGATTTTAGTCGTTTTTCAAAACTTTCTAGGCTTCAACGCACTGTGGCTTATGTGCTTAGGTTCATAAATAATTGCAAAAAGGGAACGATGCGAAGAACTAGCTTCTTAAGTACTTGCGAATTAAATGA